GAAGTGAAAATTTCATGCATTTCTTGAAACCAAAAAAAATTATATATAACCAATAACTATTCAAAAAGTACTTTTCACTTCGAGAAACTTTCATACTTTCCAATAGTAAAAATGCCTGGTTCAAATGATTGGACATATGATCCAACATGCAGTTGCCAAACTTGTTCAAATATCTCTAATACTTTGCCCTGGGAATTGAGACAAAAATTTCTTTATCAATATCAACTTCTCACACAACCTCGGCAAATTCAACAAATCGATTATAACAGAGTTTATTCTGAAAACATGCCCGCTTCTCAAGTAATTAGTAACAATAATAATTTTCTAACTGAAAACACAACACCTCAAGCTCAACTTTCTCATCAGAATAGTTATGAATTTAATCTTCAAAATGGTTATGCTGCAAGCATGTTTCCCTTTCAGCAAAATTATCTACCAATTCAGCAACCAAGTTATGGGCCTCCTCCAATTACTTCAATTAGCAGAGATCTACCTAACAGAGATTATCCTAAAAACACGTCCACTTCTCGAATAATTAGTAACAATAATAGTTTTCAAATTGATCAAGCAGTCCAAATCATTATCAATTCTATTCTTTTTCATATTACAAATCAAACATTTTTAACTAATCAAGGATCGAATGCTAGCAATAGCCAAGCTCAAGTTTCTTCTCAAGAAATGCATGCTAATGCAACTGTTATTATTAACCCTTCTCATGAACGTTCGAAACTTCGTCTTTTTATTGTTGGTCTCATGTGCTTTGTTTTTATAATTTTATTCGCAATTATTTTTTTCAAAATTAATAGTCAGATTAAAATTTTACAGTCAATTTTTGATAAAGATGGAAATTTTTTCTTGCATATACAATTCATGGATCGGTTAGCTAATATAATTTCCTTTTTGACCAAAGGTTATACAATTGTAACAAATACACCCAAGTATATTAAGTTCAGTTAATGAACTTTTTTGAATTTCTTAACCTTATGGTTCATAATGAAAAAATAATTTTATTTTTACAATAAAGAATTTTGCGAACTATTATAACTGAGTCACTAGCTTCATAAAATCATTATTTTACTTTTTATTCAGAGCGTCCAAAGAATGACATTTTTTCAAAAATTTTTTGATGCAAAAATATTTATCCGAGCAATTAGTGTAACTAGAATAATAAGTTTATAAAGAATAATAGAAATTGCTCTCTACAATAATAAAATATCACTTTTGCATAGTAAATTAATGCCATAAGCAAAAATTTCACAATCTTAGCAGCTTCGATTACTTCTTGAGCTGAAATTGTTTCATTTGTACTTGCTGGATATTCAATAATTTCGATAGTTGTTGGAGTAAAAATAATAGCTGTAATTTAATGTATTCAATCAAAAAATTCGTATAAACATTCTTAATTAGAACCTTTTGCACTTGATTTTAATTTATCTGGCTTGTCTTGACTGATAATTAATGCAGATACTATCAATAAAAGTGCCATAGTTGTAGCAACTTGAATGAAAAAATTGATAATGCAGTTCATTTTGTTGGTTTTAAAGGTTAGCGACTGAAAGATCCTAGCTTTGTGAAAAATCAAAAAAAAAAGAAATATTTATAGCACAAAAAGTAAAAATATTAGTCACATGATAAATTTCAATCTGCAATAACTAGAAAGGAGAATTGTATTATAGGGGGCTTTATTGTGATAGGCTACACAATATGAATCCCTACGTGAAGATCATCGTCAATTAATAGATTATTTGCCAGATACTTCAAGTTTAATTATAGAAATATAAACAAAATAATGGACCTTTATTTAGCCAACATATTAATCGAAAAAAAGCAAAAAAATTAATCTATCAAAAGGCTATTTTAATGCATCTAAATACCTCCCGAGCAAACTTGTATGAACTAAAAATTGTAGCTAGCGATGAAGAAACTTGGTTCATTAATTTTACTGTAAAGTAATAATTTCCATAGTTATCAAAATGATTCTGCAAAATTTCTATTTGATTATTGAAAGCAATTTTTGAAGCAATTACTACAAAAAAATATATTACGATGAAACAAAAAATAAAAACTAAAATAAAATAAAAAAGCTTTGGACGTGCTTGATTATTTGCTTGATTAATAATAACCATGGCATTGGCATGTGCTTCTGTGCAATTATGATCAATGTCTTGACGGTGACCATCCGGGTCTTGATCTATGTGTTGCCTGAACGATTTTGGTTGGAATCTTCTTGACATGAACGATTTTCGGTATTGTCATTTTCACTAATGCTGTTACTTTCATTCATTGTTGTTATTTTCATTTATATTGTAACTGTTGTTATTTTTGCTTATATTGAGATTGTTATTATTTTCACTTATGATGTGATTGTTATTGTTTCTATTACTTTCAATTATGCACTTGATTTGGAATAAAACATTGAAAATTTGATCAATGGCTTGACTATTAATGTGTACAGGTAATTCAGATTGAATATAATTTTGATGATGCATCAATAAATGCTGATTCTGGTTAATAGATTGAGGCCACTGTTGCTGGTGTTGAATATTCTGGCTAATAAATTAATGTATATTAAAAGGCATCTGAGACTGGGTACAACTTTGCTAATGAGGCTGAAGCTAATACTGGGGTTGAATTTGATTATTTTGATAAGGCTGAAGCGGCTGCTGAGGTTGGATTTGATTATTTTGATAAGGCTAAAGCGGCTGCTGAGGTTGGATTTGATTATTTGATAAGGCTGAAGCAGCTACTGAGGTTGGATTTGATTATTTTGATAAGGCTGAAGCAGCTGCTGAGGTTGGATTTGATTATTTTGATAAGGCTGAAGCTGATTAATAGGTTGTGTATCCTGTGTCGAATAGTAATTTCCAAACATCAAGAGCATTGATATTCTCGAGTATATTCCCAACAGTCTTCGGTTCTGTAAAGCAGAGTGTTAAAAGACATCTTACTATTATGAAGTTTCTAAAATGAAAAGCTTTTTAATAGTTTTTTTTTTGCTTCAAAAGCATGAAAATTTACTTTGTTTTAATAATAATTTCTTAAAAAGAGAATTCAATAATACCGCGTGTATTGTACAAACTTCATAAGTGTGGATGGAATTCAAAGAAGACTGCATAAGGGGTCAGTCAATAGACTTTTTTGACAGATCCCATGTAAGATAAACTTTTTAGGCTTCAAGAGATTATTTCTTTTAAATAGCTGTTCTTACTGTAATTCGATGATATAAAAATTTATTCAATAAATTTCTTAATTCAATAGTGTCGCGTGATATTGCACAAGGGACTAGTCAATAGACATGATATTGGATAGAATCTCATGTAAGATAAACTTTTCAGGCTTCAGAATCGTGTGTTTCAGTAAAAATATCATTATTATAAAGCGTCTATCACAACCATATCTGATACTGATTATGTTTGATATGAATTTATACATACTTTAAGACTTACTGTATATTGCCCTACAGCTTTTCTGGTGTGGAAAATCACGGGAAATTTTATTTTGTTTTCTTGATGCTCTAAAAAAAGATCGAAAATTCGAACTATCTATAGCAATCGACTAAGAAATTATGTCTTTTGAATTATACAATATCGATAACAAATGAATTTTTATACATATTCTATTTTTATGTATTTAAGCTAAATTTGGCGATAATATAAAAACCATTCTAATTTAAAGTTCAATTCTATGATATTTATAAACCGGTGTTTAACAATATCAAAAAAACCTGTTTTAAATTAGATTTAAGTTCAACATAATATGTTGAACTTAATTTTATATTACAGAATATTATTTTGTAATATAAAAATTTTAAAACTATATACCAGGGAAGTTTTTTATATTATTTCCAGATATTCACTTTATATCTTCATTTCTTAGAGAAAATTTTGATTTATAAATTCAGCAATTTGATTCTTATAGAATCAGATCTGTCAGGTATCCATGTTGGGATAACCAACTATAAGCTTGTGTTATATAAATACTAATTCATTTTGTCTGGAATTTTAATCTCATCACTGAGATGCCGCCTCCAAGAAGAAAATATCTCGGTGGTAATAGACTTGATAAAACCGCGGGCAACAAATTCAAATGTCCTAGTTGCCCAAACTTCAACTTTGATAGCCATAAAAAAGTTGTTGATCACGTAAAAGAGATACACAAAACAACGTTATTGGGATTAATATATCGACAAGATTCCAGAAGAGCAGAAGACTTGTTGTTTAAAAGAGATTCTCATAAAGTAGAGCCATGCAAAAAACTTGATAGACTTATTAATGAGTTAACGCGTGCCGAAGAAAAATATCTGCCTTTAACTGAACATAGATATCCTGTTAAACAAGTATTTGCTCAAAGTCGTCAGAGTATTTTGCAATTGCAAGAAAATTTTAAAACGTTTACCCAACACCAACTTAGTTTAACCCAAACTATTCTGAATAAAAAGTCTTAGCAGAAAAAGAAAAAGTAGCAACTACAATTGAGAAGTAATATTTTTTATTGAAATGATTTTTGCTTGAGATTAAGAGTTTATTTGTTGATAATTTTTTTTTAGTTTACGCAAAAAGGTTGCAAATCTTAAAAGCGAGCTTATTAAAAATAATAAACAAATCGAATCATTAAATGAAAGGCATAAAAAATTACTCAATTCATATGAAAGTTTACTGAATAATCATGCTATTCTTAAAGAAGATTACGTAGCGTTGTTAGAAAATAATAGTGATTATTATGCAGAACGTTGTCATCTATTAGTGCAAGAAAATAGTGTATTGGTTAAACAGTTAAGTTTTTTATATTAATATACTCTTTCATATTAAATACTATCATATGGTTAGATTTTTTATTATAAATATGTAAAATTTAGAATTATTTAAGAAATCGGATGGTTACACAAAAAAATCAGAATATTATATGATGAAATCGAAAAATTAAAGAAAAGAAATGAATTGCTTTCTTGTGTAATTGTTATAGATGATTAATAGTATTTAGGATTTTTTTTTTGAATAAAATACTATTAGTTGCTTACACCAATTATTGGATACAATTCTTAAATATATGTTTTACATCCCTTATTAGAATTGAACATTAGAACTAACTTTGAGGGAAGTATATTTCGTTTATTTTTATTTATTTCATTCATTCAGATATTCACTTTTCGTGTTTTATTAATGTTAGAAGAATCGAGATAAGCTTTTCAGAGTGGTTACAGTGAAGAAAGCACATTTTAGCTTTTCAGAGTTATTGCAGTGAAGAAAGGCTCCATCGTGATTTTATGTGAAATAGAAGTTTATACGGGTTCTCCTGAGTTAAGTAGGTATGACTAGAAGTGTAATTACACTTCTAGTTAACAATAAAGGAATCCCAATTTGAACACAAAAGAAGTTTTATTAGCATCACTCCTACTTAAGCGTATAATTATTTTAAAAACCTCTATGATGATATATGAAATTACGCTTATTAAATTACTTAAATCTGAGAGGTTTACCATATTAAAGAAAATTCCAATATTGTATTTCTCGTTTCGACTTCAAGATACTCTAATTCACCCCATTGTCTTTACTGTGAATTAAGCCTGAAAAGTTTATCATACATGAGATTTCGACAAAACTTTTGACAGACATTCACAAATCAAGGAGGGGAATTCAATAAAACTACTATTATTATAAAGTTTAATTATAATAAAGAAATCAAGGCATAATGCAATTTAAAGAACCATAATACATGATAAATTTAAAAAGAAATCAAAGTATCAAAAATAATCTAATTTAAGTTTATACGGTATGTAGAATAATTACTTTATCAATATTCTAAAATTTGTGAATTCGTTAGTGTTACGTGATATCTTACTTTGTAATATCTGATGAAGTTTTACTTTTTATCCAGTAAATAAACTTCTTAATTCAATGCCTATGCCATTTTGATCCAATAGCCACCTTCAGCAGCTATCATCACGTGTTATTTACTTCAAATGTAATGTCAAAAGTTTTGACAAAATCTCATGAATGATAAACTTTTCAGGCTTTAGAATCACTATTATAAAGTCATATCTGAAATAATTCTCGCGTGAAACTTTATTTTGTTTGCGTGATGCTCTAAAAAAAGGTTGAAAATTTGAACAAGTTATAATAATTGACTAAGAGATTATCTCTTTTGAATTATATAATATCAGTATAAACGAATATATAGTTTTCTACTATTATACTTTTTTGATATTTTTTATATGTAGCATATTCTAAAAATTTTAGTTTATTTAGTATAAAATTTTTATGTAATATAAAATTATAACCTGCAAGTTGTAGATCTTATTGAAAACTGAACAAAAAATTATATTATTACGAGAACTAAAAATATGATTGAATTTTTCAGAAGTAATATAAGTATAATTTATTTATGTTACTATTTTTAACCGACTTTAAGTAATATTGTAATTCCAAATATATCCAAGCCAAATTTGGCACTAATTTAAAAGCCACTCTAATTTAAAGTTCAATTCAATTATAGGATTTTTCATACAATTACCTTTATTGTTATCAATATATTTAAAACCGCATAAAATTAACGTTATTAACAATATCAAAAAACCTGTTTTACTGTAATTTCCGGATCTTAATAGCCTTCTTGAAATTATGATAAAAATAATTAATAAACAAATTAAGTATAAATATAAAATTTATATTGATAGCAGCATTAGTTATAAGTAATATTATTTATACATTTTTCTAGAATGTTAACATTTGTCTTTGCAAACTTCAGGCGTCTAATCACAATTATACCTGATATCTAGTGATGTGAATGATTCTTAATTGTCGCATTTAATGATGGGAACTGAACTAACAATATCATAGATTATTTATATTATAATTTATATGTTTCACGTGACTTTTTATGCTTAAAGATCAAAAACGAAAACAGGTTTATATATAACTATTTATACTACTTGAAATGTTATATTAAATTGATTTTTGTATATTACTGTACTAGAGATGAGATCCGTTATTTGTTTTTGGATTACTTTATTGATATATAATGTGATTTAATTCTTAGATAGAATCTCGAAAAAAATGACTCGAAAAAACTCAAACATTAAACATTTAATTAATACTCTTAATTCACCTAAATCAACTCCAAACCAGATTAAAAATACATTCTTTAAGTATTTTGAAAGTACCAGAGACTATTATAAACGTCGGCTTAACAATAAAGTGATAACACATGAAGAATACGAAAATTATGACAAACTTCTTGATGCTTTAAAAGCTCAAATAAAATTTATGATCACCAAAATTATAAGATTAGAAGGAAGGATCAACAGATTAGATAATAATGATATTAATTTTTTAACCGAAATAAATTTTTTAAAAAAAGAAAATCATGATTTAATAAAAGAAAACGAAACCCTAAAGAAGGAAAATGAAGCGTTCAAAATTGTCATCTCACATTCAGCTGGGATATATAGGAATAATGAAGAACAATATGAAAGAACGATTCAACGACAAAGAAATGAGATAAATTGCTATCATCAAATTTTTCAAGTATTCGCCTCTTACTGTCAAGAAAATAGTATTGGTAAATTTGTTTTTTCTTTTTTTCTTTTAACTTTTTATTTTAAAATCACCTAACTATATTTTTCCTTAAAGATTGTAATATAATTAATTCTTTTTTACAACTAAACGAAATTGATACTCGAATATGTTATTCAAGTTTTAATGATGCCGTTAATGCATCAAATAATTTGAAAAAAGTTGAACTTAATCAGAACGAAACAGAAATTGAAGAATCTTCTCATCTACATCGAACATTTTCTTTTATTGAAATCGAAGAAAATGAAACCATCCAGGACGACGAAGGAGAATGCTCCAAATTTGTAAAAGGAAATAATAATTTTGATTGAATTTTGAAATCTGCTTTCAATGTTTTTATTGTTTTTTTTTACCATAAAAACTTTAAATTTTCTATTAAAGCTGATGGAGCTTTTCCGTAATTTGTTGAACTTAATTACCTTATCCATGTTCGTGTAATTTCATTCCGTTATTGAATAACAAATAAAATTCTGTATCAGATATAAAAAATAAGACAATCTTACTTGAAAATAAAGTATTACGAAATGCTTACATAAATGTTTCTATTTGAACCCACACGTCTATCTCAAATTTTTAAACTTTTGTAAAATATATTAAACTAATGGTTTATTTTAAAACTATAGTTAACTACAGTTTGAGTTAGTGATGTGAACCAAACATTGAAAAGATTATTTTAAATCGGTGAATATCCATAGATTTAAAGTAACTCATAGATTATTTATATTCTTTATAATTTTATGGTATTTTATTTATATTATTTGTAAATTATACTACCTTGACAATTTTGAACTTAAAATTCTCAATAAGTATCTCGTTATTTTAGCGCTAAAATACAATCCAATTAACAAAAACAATCAAAGTTCTTTATTATTTATCAATTGCAAGGATACACAAATTTCATTTTAATAATGCAAAATAGGAGATAGTTATTAACGAAATTCAATTAAAGTAATTCGTTGCCTCTGAGAGTAATTGATATTTTATTTTGTGAGCATATAAAATATAATAAAAATTAATACATTTATTTTTAAAAAGTAAGTTGATATAAGAATAAATAATTAAAAATAAAATATATAAAAAAAACTCTTATCAGAATATAATTTCATCATTTAAGAGCATAATAAATGCGAGATTGCCGGTTCAGCAATCCATCCTATATTTCTTGTTCAGAAAAAATAAAAAGATGGAACAGCCAATATGGCAATCCATTCCACATGATTTAGGAAAAAAAAATATAGAAATCCTTGAAAAAGAAAAAAATATTATATTCAAAACAAAAATGAAATACATAAAAAAAAACTCTTATCAGAATATAATTTCATCATTTAAGAGCTAATAAATGCGAGCTGGCTAGTTCGGCAATCCATCCTACATTTCTTTGTTCAGAAAAAATAAAAATATGGAACGGCCAATATGGCAATCCATTCCACATCATGATTTAGGAAAAAATATATATATAGAAATCCTTGAAAAAGAAAAAAAATATATTATATTCAAAACAATAAATCAAAGTGAGACTCTCCTCAAAAAAAAAAAAAAAAAAATTAGTATATATTAAATTATATTAATTCAAAATAAACTCAAAATAAAGTTACTTTCTTGTTCACGCTTCATGCTTGATTCTTTAAAAGATATCTACATTCGATTAAAAATATTACATTCAGTTTCAACGCTTTCATTCTCGAAGATAATGAACATATGGATACAGATGAACATTTGGAACCTAATTTACAGAATTTTTGCATTAATCTCATTTTTGGTATTAAATAAATTATGAAGTCATTATCGTATATCTCTCAGAATTTACAGACTTTTAATATCATTTTATAACCATTTGTAGCAATAACGAACAGCCCCACCGAGACACAGTCTTCATTAATACTACACCAGCCTTCAATTTTTTAATTTGTTGGAACTTATATAATCTATCGTTTCTTTAGTTCTTGAAGATCCACTTCTTGTTATTCAACGGGATTCTTTCCGCTCAATTGGAGGTTTTTTCTTTTTTCCTTGAAGTTAGAGTCATTCTTTTGAAGGCAACCGCTCAGAATATTAGCGAATGTGATTGATTTAAGTATTATTTTGAATTGATACAACCACTTTTATATAATTTATCATCATATGCGGTTACTCCTCTAAGCTGATAACATCCTGACACGGATGTCTGACAGATTTAATCTTGTTAAAGATCAAATTGCCAAGGTGGATATCCCAACACGGATACCTGACAGATCTGATTCGATAGGAATCAAATTCCCGAATTTATGATATCAAATTTTTCCCTAAGAAATAAAATATAAAGTGAATATCCGGATATATAAAATGAAAGAAATAATAAAAAAAACACTCTTAGTATTCTTTAGTTCGATAGATAGCGTAGAAAAGTAATGGTTTATTGTTATTTATAATTGTTGAATTGAGTAATGGATGTTAACTAAAGTTATTATAGTTACAATTTATATAGTTTTTTGTTCATATTATGTACTAGCGGAATGATCTGGTATTGTAAATAATTTTTTTTTATATATTGCACACCGAGTGAAGAATCAGTCATGTAACATTGACGTTTCCTCCTGTTTAGAGGTGTGGTGAACTAGTAGTTAATATAAATAAACTGTAGTTTATTGTAAAACTGTAGTTTTAAAATAAACTACAGTTTATTTATATGTACTTAATTCACAGTTCATTAAGTAAAATTAGGTCAAAACAAAAGTTCACGCATTTTGATAAATCAAAATTGTGCTTCGAAAAATTTTCTACATATATTTAAAATGTGTTATAAATAGTCCTAAATAATTCTAAATAACCTGAAAAAAATAAAATGTCCCCTCCACGTAAATCAAGTGGAAATCCAGAATGCCCTCAATGCGGTAAACTTTTTAAAGATATCAACGGACATGTTAGAATGATACATAAAACAACATTAAGTTTATTAAAACAAAGAAAAAGAAATTATCAAAATTATAACGAAGATCGAACTAAACAAGAAAGAAGAAATGATAGATTATATAATAAAACCCAAATGATTAAAAAAATTGATGGATATTTGAGGATTCTCTATAGTCAAAACGCCAAGTACCCGAAGACGGATTTATTTTTGACGATAAAATTCAATGGTTCAGTCGCTTAAGAGAATCTGCCAGAGCTGTGAATGATGACGATCTTTCAATTTTTCAATCAATTTATTCAGATTTTAGTAATATAAAAAAAAAGAGTGATGAAGAAATTAAAATGTGTGGTATTTTTTATCAAAAATTTTTTTTAAAATAATATTTTTAAGTAAGTTACTAATTGATATTTCTTACCTAGTTTACGTGAAGAAGTCAGACATCTTAGAGATGAACTTAAGAATATTAAAAATAAACTCGAACTTCTAGAATGAGAAAATGACGCAGATTCAGATTCGAATTCCTGAAACTTACAACAGATGGAAATGGACATTGACTAAAAGAATACAGAAATTAATAACTTGACAATAGAAGTCACGAACCTGAACTTGGTCAATAGAGAAAAGAGTGACTTGATTAAAAACTTAAAAGCTAAAGTAAATTTTTTTTTTCAAGATTGTAAAATTAACGAGTGACCAAATTATTAATTTTCATATTTTTAATAATAGATTGAAGATTTAATAAGTGAGACTGAATTATTAAGAGATAACTTTAGGTTAGCGGATGCCGAAAGGAGCCAAAACACAATAAGAGTAAGTTTTAATTATTTTAGTACTTTTTAATACATCTTTTAAAAATTTCTAATATATTTTTATTATTATTTGTAGATGAATAATGAACTAGCTAAAAGAGATTATGCGAAAAGAAAATGTACAACTTTAGTAGCACAACATGAAAGCGAGCTAAGAAAAAGAGACAAAAGAGAAACTGATCTTTATTCACAAACTGATCTTTTAAAAAACAGGGTCAAGTACTTAGAATTACTGTTAGGTAATGAGAGTTCAATTTTCTTAGAGATGAATCATTCTAATGTTATGATTACTGATACTCAGAGAACAATTGATGATAGTGATTGTTAATTAATATTATGCGAAATTATCTCATTTGAATGAAAATAAAATTTCTAATTTTTGCAAAATTGAATAAAATAAAGTAACTTGGGTAACTCGAATAAAACTACGCAATAAGTTTCCAAGAAAGTTGTAGCATAAACGGAATTAAATACTGCTAAGTATTCATCACATTATTGTAAAGGCTTTGTTCGATGTTTCATTCTTCGTAAATTACTTTTTACATATTTCGGTATATAATAAAAAACTATTATAACATGCTTTTGGCAAGAAGCATCCATTATCATATGCGTAAATAGTAGAAATATATATCAACCAATCATGTGATTATCTAAAATTATAAATTAATAACTTTTAATAGTAAATATTCATTATTTACATACTATTTAGTTTTCATTTACAAGTTTCGGAATTCAACTTGCTTTGCTAGAACAGGAGCTAGAACATTACCAAAATTAAGCCTTAATTTTGCCCAAATTCATGAAACTACCTTTTATAATTCGTTCTCCGACAGCAACTAGAGGCTGTCAGAAAACAAACTGGGTTCGAATAATAAAATTTAAATTATCAACAATATCGATATTGAATTATATAACAAATTCAAGCATAATCCCGAGCTAAATTATGCATAACTCCTGGTAAAATCAATTCCGGACAAAACTATAACTCCAGGAAAAATCAAACTATAATTCCGGGCAAAATTAAGATTTGTAACCTAGAAGTTGTTTGTAGGAATGCTATAACATTGATTAGAATCATATGAGTTAAAGACTTGTAACCTAATGCACAAAGTAAGAACGCCAACTGAATACTTTACTTATTTGTCAAAAACTTGAATAATGCATGGAGTTGTTTGTGTGTGGGAATGCCAACTAAGTTTTTTAAGGAAAAATCTACAAACCAATAAAATTATAGTGATTAGAATCATACGAGTCAAAGACTTGTAACCTAATGCATGAAGTTGTTTGTGTGTGGGAATGCCAACTATATCTTTTAAGGAAAATCCACAAACACCAATAAAATTACATTGATTAGAATTATATGCGTCAAAGATTTGTAACCTAATGCAAGAAGTTGTTTGTTTGAATGCTATAACATTGATTAGAATTATATGAGTTAAAGACTTGTAACTTAATACACAGAGTAAGAACGCCAACTGAATACCTTACTTATTTGTCAAAAACTTGAATAATGCATGGAGTTGTTTGTGTGTGTGGGAATGCCAACTAAGTTTTTTAAGGAAAAATCTACAAACCAATAAAATTATAGTGATTAGAATCATACGAGTCAAAGACTTGTAACCTAATGCATGAAGTTGTTTGTGTGTGGGAATGCCAATAAAATTACATTGATTAGAATTATACGAGTCAAAGATTTGTAACCTAATGCAAGGAGTTGTTTATGTGTGGGAATGCTATAACGTTGATTAGAATCATATGAGTTAAAGACTTGTAACTTAATGCACAGAGTAAGAACGCCAACTAAATACTTTACTTATTTGTCAAAAACTTGAATAATGCATGAAGTTGTTTGTGTGTGGGAATTTCAGCTAAGTTTTTTAAGGAAAAATCTACAAACACCAATAAAATTACATTGATTAGAATTATATACGTCAAAGATTTGTAACCTAATGCATGCATTGAGTTGTTTGTGGGAATGCCAACTATATCTTTTAAGGAAAAATCTACAAACACCAATAAAATTACATTGATTAGAATTATACGCGTCAAAGATTTGTAACCTAATGCAAGAAGTTGTTTGTGGAAATGCTATAACATTGATTAGAATCATATGAGTTAAAGACTTGTAACTTAATGCACAGAGTAAGAGCGCCAACTGAATACTTTACTTATTTGTCAAAACTTGAATAATGCATGGAGTTGTTTGTGTGTGTGGGAATGCCAACTAAGTTTTTTAAGGAAAAATCTACAAACCAATAAAATTATAGTGATTAGAATCATACGAGTGAAAGACTTGTAATCTAATGCATGAAGTCGTTTGTGTGTGGGAATGCCAACTAAGTTTTTTAAGGAAAAATCTACAAACACTAATAAAACTACATTGATTAGAATTATACGCGTCAAAGATTTGTAACCTAATGCATGCATGGAGTTGTTTGTGGGAATGCCAAGCCAACTATATCTTTTAAGGAAAAATCTACAAACACCAATAAAATTACATTGATTAGAATTATACGAGTCAAAGATTTGTAACCTAATGCAAGGAGTTGTTTGTGGGAATGCTATAACAGTGATTAGAATCATATGAGTTAAAGACTTGTAACCTAATGCACAAAGTAAGAATGCCAACTGAATACTTTACTTATTTGTCAAAAACTTGAATAATGCATGGAGTTGTTTGTGTGTGGGAATGCCAACTAAGTTTTTTAAGGAAAAATCTACAAACCAATAAAATTATAGTGATTAGAATCATATGAGTCAAAGATTTGTAACCTAATGCAAGGAGTTGTTTGTGTGTGGGAATGCTATAACATTGATTAAAATCATATGAGTTAAAGACTTGTGTAACCTAATGCATGCATGGAGTTGTTTGTGTGTGGGAATGCCAACTAAGTTTTTTAAGGAAAAATCTACAAACACCAATAAAATTACAGTGTTAGAATCATACGAGTCAAAGATTTGTAACCTAATGCAAGGAGTTGTTTGTGTGTGTGGGAATGCTATAACATTGATTAGAATCATATGAGTTAAAGACTTGTAACCTAATGCACAGAGTAAAAACGCCAACTAAATACTTTACTTATTTGTCAAAAACTTGAATAATGCATGGAGTTGTTTGTGGGAATGCCAACTATATCTTTTAAGGAAAAATCTATAAACACCAATAAAATTACATTGATTAGAATTATACGAGTCAAAGATTTGTAACCTAATGCAAGGAGTTGTTTGTGTGTGTGAATACTATAACATTGATTAGAATCATGAGTTAAAGACTTGTAACCTAATGCACAGAGTAAGAATGCCAACTGAATACTTTACTTATTTGTCAAAAACTTGAATAATGTATGCATAGAGTTGTTTGTGTGTGGGAATGCCAACTAAGTTTTTTAAGGAAAAATCTACAAACAACAATAAAATTACAGTGATTAGAATCATATGAGTCAAAGATTTGTAACCTAATGCAAGGAGGTTTTTTAAGGAAAAATCTACAAACACCAATAAAATTACATTGACTATAATTATATGAATCAATAATGTGCCAACTAAATTTTTTAAAGAAAAATCTACAAACATTACATTGATAACGTAGAATCATACGAGTCAAAGACTTGTAACCTAATACATTGCACAAGAGTGAGGAGGACGCCAACCAAATATTGTCTTATTTGTCAAAAACTTAATACATTCTTATACAAAAAGATTCTTTATATGTGACAATTTAGTACTGCACGTATCATATATTTTTATTATTGTTATTAATGAGGTTTTGCTTAATAAATTTATTTCTAATTATCCTAAAATTGTTATATTTTCAAACTGTAATCATAATTATAATGAAAATTACCTTTAAAAAATGCTAAGCTAAATCATAATTACTATAATGAAAACTATTAAAAACGACTACGTAAACTAAATCATAATTACTATAAATGTTTTTATCATAATTTAATATTGGTTACGTCATATTAAATATTCATAATTTTTTTAAATTCATTTATGATAGGTGTAATATCCTTATCGGTTATAATTGACATCGGAAATTTTGCTCGTTCAAAGAAATCGTATCTAGAGTTTCCTAACTGTCTTGTTGCAGCAAGCAAATTTCTAGCAAATCTCATATTACGACTTTTCTTTCTTTTATTTTTGTAGAAGAAATATGGATTTCCCTAGAAAGCTTGGTTTTAGGTGTATTTTTACTGTTCTCCATTGTTTTTGCATATTCATTGATTATGGCTTTGTCATCATTGCCGGGTTTTGCCGATATTAATATATCGATAAGGAATAGTTCAGACAAAATAGGTTCAAAATACATGGAACGCTCCAAATATTCTGAAAGCTTTATTCGATAGCTTTTCCATGATTCAGGATCTGTTGAATTTGGTAAGGAAGGTTTAATCTTTTCATAATATGATGGATTTCGAATCTGTTCAATAAATTTTTTTTTCCAATCATCGTTTGATAAAGAAGGTTTTATATCGTCGGATTCGGGATCACTCATTATAAAGGTAAAATTATTGTTAACGTATTAGTGCTAACATCTTAAATACTATTCTCTTTATAATTTTGGAAAAGATCAGAAGAATTTTGATTGGCTGATTTGGTAAATCTTGGTTCTTTGTAGATGGGTAACCCCGTTATTTTCCAAATTAGGTTTAATATAAGCGAATTAAAATACGATAGTTAATACAAATTGCTAGCTTTGAAAAAACACTCTAGAGCAATTTTTAGTAGAACATTAGAATATCAATAAACATATAGCGTATTTACGTCATTATTCAAATTTTATACTTTTGACTATAGTGGTGAAATTAATTTCACCAATTTCAACAATATTCCACCAGCATCTATACTTTTGATTACGAGTTTTTATGTAAAAGAAGATAATCCTCCAAGTTACATGTGATAGTCAAAAAATAGTATAAATTGTATAGTTTATGAAAAACTACAACTTTAAATGAAATAAATAGATATGTTTTAAATGGAAATTCATCAGGGAAACAAAAATCTTTGAACCTTTACTTTAAATTGCAAAAACTTTTAAATTTCAATTGTTTTTAATATTTAAATTGGCACCAATCCATCATAATCTGGATGTCCAAATCCATTATTTCTGCTAATAACTACGTTAAAAAAGTCTTCTATAATTTGTATTAAATCTTTTATATTTCGTATTATAAACATATCTAAAGGTTCAGGTTGGTCGATCCCAAAAGCTCCATGTACAATTGGCTCATAAGGCTCAATGTACAAATATAAATGGTGAGATTTTTTGATACTATTAAATTGACCGTAAATCAATACAAGTTTGTAATATAGTTTCAATGGAATGAGCAAATAAAAATCTGCTTACGTATAAATAATTAAAAGTATTAAAAATTCCATAAAAGAATTACTGCCAGGATAACTGTCCAATTCCATCCATTACAAATTTTACTGTTTCTATAGTGAAATAGTCTTGTTTCTTCTCGTTCAATTATTAAATTATTCTTTTCCATTTTAATAATCTTGGTTCACAAAGTTTTAAATAATAGAAGTTCTGAATAAATATGAGAAAACCGTAGCTGCTTTTATACTATTTCCTTAAATCCTCTTAAAATATAAAATTATGTATATTTATTTAATCGCATATAATATTTTAAATTGAGTAACAGAGCAGCATTATTAACAATCATGAACAAAGCCTTTTGCAATAGTGTGTAAAGAATTGAAACATTAAACTTTGCATAGTATTTTATACGCGTATAATTGTAACAGATCAACATTATATATAATACTGTACATACACAATACAGAATTTCTTTTTAATGTTTTGTAAAATAGGTAATATGAATAACCACGGCGAAGAGCATAAATTAAAGCAAAATTGAATTAATCATTTCCTTATTTGCTTATTCTTACGCTTAAACTTTCTTGGAATATTATTGCATAGTATTTATATTTTTTTCACATATTTAAAAAATACGCGTATTAATTGCAGCACTATATACACGAAAAATATTATTAATCATACTTATCTCGGAGTTTCATTTAATGCTTTGCAAAATAGGTAATACAAATAACCACGGCAAAGATAGCATAAATTAAAACAAAATTGTTTTAATTATTTCCTTATTTGAACAAGTTCATTACGAAAAAATGTATTAAAAGAATCATGTAAAATCTAGTTTTCAGAATTGACTAAAAATTACAATTACAAAATGTCAAGTAAAAAGCTCTTAGCGCTATTGCTAAAAATTGCATATTTTCTTTTGCTGAAAATTTTTTATAAATTTCCTGACTTTAATTTTTTTGACTTCTTTGATTATTGCTATTTTGATTTTTGCATCTTCGATATTAATTTTGAACATGATTCTGATTCTATCTTTCTTGTTGTTCCCTGGTCTCGTTGTCGGGTTTTTCGTATTATTTACGAGTACTATCTACAAGTCTCCTGAACCTATTCCCTCCATTAATAGAGAAATAAACAAAGGCCAATATGTCACCGATGATACAATGCGTTTTTTTAATTTTCCAACTTTATTCAAAAGATTTATTCCTTCTCATTCTTAAAATAATCGACCAGCTCTTAAACAAAATATCTACCATCTTATAAAATCAGCTAGAAAACAATCTCAATTTTTACTTGACCATATTTACTCTCTTAACAAATCAATTACTGTTCCATTTGAAATAGTATACTCAATTTTCACTAAATTCAAACATACAAAAAAAATTTCTTTATACCAAATTGTCAAAAAAGAAAATAAAGTTATTGAAAAAATTGTAAATTTACCTGAA